ATGATACCTTGACTTACTTTTTAATTTCCTTTTTTAGGGGACTTTATGTTTTTCAGTTTTTTTTCCCTTCATGATTCATCTGTGTTTTTCTTGGTAAACTTTAGGTAGACCCTTATATATTTTTTCAAATAATAAGTCAAGAGTGTCAAAAGTTTCCATATAATTTCAAATTCATTAAATTCACTTTTTAATTTTTTTTTGTTTTTTAAGAGTGCTTAATAATATTATGTTACAAAAAAGAGAGTTTATAATTACTTAAAAAAATAAAAATAAAAAACTCTCGGACACCTAGATTTTTTTTCCTTTAATTTTTTTGTTATTTTTTTATTTTTATCCTAAAACATTGGATTTTTGTATTTTCTTTTTTTTTTCTTTTCATTTTATCCTTTAATATTTAATTTATTTTAAATTACTTTTCATATATTATTTTAGTTTATTTTCAATAGAATTATCAAGATTTCAAATAAATACTCTGTCATTTCATGAGTGCTTGGTTGTTTTTCCTTTTCTTTTGGATTTAGTTTTATATTTAAATGTACCATAAAAAACTATTACTTAATAATATTATAATTTTTGTTAGGAATTTTAACATTCCTATCCAATTATTATGTTTCATGAATATTTTATTAAAATAAAATTTATATTTTTAAAATTTTTTTAATTTTATCATATGTATCATTATTTTTTTCTTCAATTATATATAAAATACATAGACTTTGTTTGAATGTTTCATTTTAAACTTATATTAGACCATAATGAGTTATTTTTTAGGAAAGAATGTTTTTAATTTATAAAATATCATAATATTAGATAGGTGATTGGTTTTGCTATCATTTATTTTTTATTATATTATTAAATAAAAAATAATTTTAAAAAATAAAACCACAAAAGATTAGACCATACATCAATAAATTATCAAATAAATTGCCAAGACGAGATTGGATAACTACAAATACATGCAAAACATTAAAAAAAAAAAACATCACCTCACAAACCTTCTACACATGTGCAAAAACAATGTCAATAATTAACTTGTCTTCAAGGTGGGTCCAAACTACAAATTTATCCACCATATTTGAGCTGCCACGTGTCCATTTACGCACTAAAGTTTCAAGATACAAAGGCACAGACGAGACCTTACCCTCACAGTTCACAACACTACAAACGACTTTGTCGGCTGTAACGTTCATGCTACAAGTCGTTCAGTTCTTCGGACGTCATCATGAAAAAAAACCGTAGTCTAGCTAAAGCTTCCTTCATCAATAACAGCGTTGCTCTTTTACTGTGTCGTTTTACTGTGGATGTAGTCACACGACAATGTAAACTATGACAATGTGCTGGCGATTTTGTCATTTGAAGAAAATTTTGGGTGGAGGATAATTTCATCTGATATCATTGTAACGACCTCCACTCTTTATAACTTACAAATACAAATATCATAATTCAATTTAACATTAGAGTGATTTTTTATTTTTATTTTTATCAAAATTTTAATAAAGTTTTCTTTTATGTCTCAATTCTATATTTACGCCAACAATTAATCAAGTGTATGCAATAAAACATGCTAAATCATAGAATATACTATAAAAACTTTTCTAAGTTAGATTACAATACCTTAGTTTTACATTTTTTTATTACAACAAAAGATAATTTCCAAAAAGTTTATATATGCCAACCAAACTATATCATAAACAAAAAAATATCTAAAAATTAATTAACATCCTGAATTAATTAAACATATACATTACAGTTTGAAAATTCATAACAATATAATAATTTTTTCAGATTACTCTTCAGGAACTCTAACCAGACAAATTTAATTTCATACATAAAACTAGAATTTATTTCATAAATTTGACATTATTTAGTTTAAAACTTCTTGGAACCTCAAATTTCTCATCTCAAAATTTTCCCTTGATTTATGATGAAATTCATTCAATTTCAAGAGAAACAATTAAAAAAATTTCGAAATCCTTTTCCTCTCTCTCTAGCAGCAGTCGGCCACCAATGAAGAGGAAGAATAAAATTTTCTTTTCTTTCTTTTTTATTCCTATTTTACCTTTTTTATAAATGCTCAACATCCTCATGTTATTTATTTATTTATTTATTAATTCTTTTAATCCATTAAAAGTTGCTACATTAATTTTCTTAATCTTTCTTATTCCCGAGGTAAATTTTCTACATAAATTCCCTCCTTTTCTTTTTCTCTTTTTTTACTAGATCATCTAAAAAAAAAAATCTAACCATGGTTCTTAATTATAGGGCATATCGTCAAAATACTATTCCAATAAATAGTAATGTGAGTTTTGCGCTATATAAGCTTTTCCTTCTCTCTTAGTTTTTTTCTAATTATATTTTCACATGCTTTTGAACCACATATTTTCTAGAAAGAAAAAAAACAACAACAAGAAAAAAAAGAACACATCAATTTATTTTTTATTTTTTAATTTTTAAAAATAAAAATTTTAATACATCTTTTTAATACTCTCTAAGTTCAAAAAAAATTATACTTTGTTATTAAAATATAAATTAAATATGCCCATGTAAAAAGTTGCTTGACTTAAAACAAATGAAGTTAATGATAATGATGCAGTGAATTAATTTTTATCAACTTGACTTAATTAATTAAATTTATAATTTAAATTATAAATTTAATATGTTTAATAATACTTTTATTTTAATTATATAATAAAAAAATAAATATCTATCCTATATCATGGCTTTAAAAAATACCTTAATAAATAAGCATGTAAAAGATGTAATTAAAGAAAAAAAATCTATAAATTACTAAATGTAAAAAAAAATATGAATATATTTTATTGTAAAGATAAAAATAAAATATTAAAAAAACAAAGATGGAAAGATAAAGAGATATATATTTTTTTCTTATTTATAAACACTTCATAAACGCGTCCTAAATATTAAAATGATTAACATAATAACAATAATCAATTAACGGATTTTGTTTATTTATTTTCTAACAAAAACTATTTAAATCGCTAGATTCGTTTTTGCAAATATGGTGAATTTACTCAGCGGACCGTCCGGTACCTTCTTTAACCAGAGATCCTACCTTACTTGTGCCCATCACCACAACCCCCTCTCTCTTTAAGAGACATCACAAACATCAAGAACACAACTCCACTCGACACGCTCTTTCATCTCTCGCCACCACCAGCAGCCGGGAAAGTAAAATTCTGATGATGTTTCCACTCTCAAACCCTTCATCTTCACCTGAATCCCAAATCAAGAAATCAAAAACTCCACTTGATGTCCGAAGGAAAGACTCTTTCAAGTCACCTCAAGCGTTTCTTGCTGCTCATTACCCTTCCATAAACCAACCTCGGTTATGCCTTTTCCTTTCCATCTTCTTCATTCAAATCCTCCTCCTCCTCGCTCTCCGCTCCGTTCCTCGTTCTTTCCACCATCGCCTCCACCACTTCCCGGCTCCCGTCACTGCCCACCACCTCACTCCAACCCTCACCACCACCACCGCCTCCTTCCCCGCCAGCACAGTGAAAGGGGAGACATCCTGCGAGTTTGGTGAAATCTTTGTCTACGATCTTCCGAGTGCTTTGAACCACGAATTGGTTAACAACTGTGATGAATTGAACCCTTGGAGTTCGAGCTGTGCCGCGTTGTCGAATGACGGATTTGGCCCTGTGGCCGCTGGAATTTCCAGCGTTGTACCGGAAAATCTTGCTGCTGCTTGGTACTGGACTGATCAGTTTGTCACTGAAGTTCTTTTCCACAACAGAATTTTGAATCATAAATGTAGAACTCAAGACCCCAACAATGCGACAGCCTTTTACATTCCATTCTACGTTGGACTCGCTGTCGGGAAATTTCTATGGCTCAAGAACTCATCCGCTGAAGAACGTGATTTTCACTGCGAAATGATGCTCAAGTGGGTTCAAGACCAGCCGTATTTCACAAGAAATGGTGGATGGGATCATTTCTTGACGATGGGAAGGATATCCTGGGATTTTAGACGGTCCAGGGACGAGGAATGGGGTTCGAGTTGCATTCACAAGCCAGGTATGCGAAACATTACTCGTCTTTTGATCGAGCGAAATCCCTGGGATTATTTTGATGTTGGTGTTCCTTATCCTACGGGATTCCACCCTCGATCAGACAATGATGTTGTCGAATGGCAGGATTTTGTCCGAAATCGTAACAGGAAGAGTCTTTTCTGTTTTGCTGGTGCTAAACGTAGCAAAATCAAGGATGATTTTCGAGGGCTGCTGTTGAATCATTGTAGGAACGAGTCTGATTCATGCCGAGTTGTGGATTGTGCTGGTTCTAAATGTTCTAATGGAACTTCGATAATTCTTGAAACGTTCTTGGATTCTGTTTTCTGTTTGCAGCCCAGGGGTGATAGTTTTACAAGAAGGTCGATTTTTGATTGTATGATTGCTGGTTCGATCCCAGTTTTGTTCTGGAAAAGAACTGCTTATGATCAGTATGAGTGGTTTTTGCCGGCTGAGCCAGATAGCTATTCGGTGTTTATAGATCGAAATGAAGTGAAAAATGGGACTACTTCTATTCGGAAAGTGCTTGAGAGGTACAGTGAGGATGAGATTAGGAGAATGAGGGAGAGAGTTATTGAATATATACCAAAGTTTTTGTATGCTAGACCCGATGAAGGTTTAGAGACTATAAAGGATGCTTTTGACGTTGCCATTGATGGGGTTTTGAGGAGGTTCAAAGAGCAAGAGCAACCTGGCTACAGGTGGTAGTTGGGAGGAAATTAAGAAATGATGGTGATTTGGGTACCTGGGATTCAATTTGGGAAGATGATCACGTACCCAAGTTTATCCAGGAGAGATTTGTTACAAGAAAATTTATAGGGAAACAATTACTACAAGTTCATTCTTACAGTTCTTTTTTGTATGTATTCTTCACAATAATGTTGCTTACTACATTTGTAATTCTTTGGAGTCTTGAGGACCAGGAATTTTCAGAAATAAATGTTGTGTAATTGGGCAGTAAAATTTATTATCTAGTGAAACTGAAGCCTTCATCGGATAGATTAGGCAGGACCACCACTTTGGTGGTGGCAGTAAGGGGATCCTATGTTCTTTTTGGTGGCTGTACATGGCTAGCTATAAAGCTAGGTAGCTAGCTGGGTATAAAGAAGATTAATTGCATTGTATATTGCTACAGTACAGTAATGTTTTTCCAGGCCAATAAAACATAAATTGAAGGGTAAAATAATTTTTTCACAAGTTTTAATTAGCATTACTCAAGCAAAATAATCTTTTTATATTTTTGTTACAAAGTAAAATTATTAATTTACTTTTAAAATAAAAAAATTAATTAGGAGCAAGGGTTTTTTTTGGCCTTCTATCTTTTTTTTAACATAATATAATTACCACTGCCTTTCTTTAAAATTTTATTTTCTTTAACTTGCCACCACTTGAGTGTTTCAGTCACTTTATTATGATTTTTATAATTATTAAATAGATTTAAGGAAAATCAAGTATTTTAACATATATAAAATATATTTTAAGAAAAAATGGTTGGTGTGTAAAACGCTTGTACTAGCAAGTGAGAGGAGTTCGTACCTTTTAGGCGGCATGTGTATGTTTTTTTGGTAGTCAAAAATAACATTTCAATGCTGATCTAGTAGCAACATATTAGATCTCGAGGCGTAAGTTAGTGATAGATTGATGATGTGGCTCCGATTGGTTTTTCTTCTCCTCCTCCTCTCTCTGTCTTTTCCCTGTAAAATATAGAAGTTATTTTTATTTGTTTTTTCATATAATTTGATTTTTTTATTGTTACTTATATTTTTTTATCTTTTGCATATTATTTTTTTAATTTCATTTCATCATTTGATTTCATTTTATTTTTATATCAAATTTAATTTTTATTTATTTTTTTAATTGTTATTTATTTATTATTTTTCTAAATATTTTTTTTGTTTGAATTTATTCTTATTTCTCTAATTGAATGACAATAGTCATGCTAACTTGTGTTTGCATTTTTAGGAACTCTTTTGCTCATGGTATAAGGGGTGTTTAGAGCTGTGTCTCAACACTTTTGTTTAAAAAAAAATTTTAATTTTTTTATAAAATTTTTTAGATTGTTTTATATGCTAATATCAAAAATAAAATTTTAAAAATAAAAAATATTTTAACATATTAAAATAATAATAATTAAAGAATAATTTTTACCACACTACACCCGCATCCGATGCAAATTGTCCAAGGATAAGGTGTGATCTTGCATTAATAAATTAGGTGGAAGTTACAGGATGGGTGTGGTGAAACTTTATCACTACTGGGCAAGGCTCCTCTGTTGTCCAGACTTGGCATCATGCACGGAGAACATACCACTTATTTTACATTTGGATGTTATATTCCATCTTTTATTGTTTTCATGCAGTTTTTTTAAAGTATAGTTTGGTGGGTGCTTTGCAATCTTTATGGCGGGCCTTCCAAGGGTCAAAAGGGCAAAAGGAAAATTGGTCCTTTCTAGTTGTTTTACTAAGATTTTTATATTAAAATATTAATTAAACAAACTATAGTTTATAGTTTATTCTTAAATATATTGTCTTCCCCAATAGAAGAAATTACAACAATTCTAGGGAAGACACTAGAATTGTAATTTCTTCTGTCCCATGTCCATTCATTGGTCATGGTAATGAATTTTTCAGTAAGTTGAAAAACAAAATAAAAAACTCGTTGTTGGTGGATATGTGATTAAATGTATAGAAGAATCGAAAAAGGCAACGTCTTGCGTGTGTGTGTCTCTGATTTAGATATTTATAGATCTGTCTCTGATTTACGAATTGCCGTCAAGTTATGATTATTTAAAAAAAAAATTAAAATGAAATTGCTTGAGTAAAATAAAAACAAAAACAATTCAGCATAAAACCCAATTCAGGTCGGCAAGCCACTAAGCTAACATGTCGACGGGGTTTTACAACATGGGAAGTCAATTTGTCCGACATGCCAGGGATGAGTTTGAAAAAATGATTAAAGATTTTGAATCTCCAGATGCTTGGCTGGAGTTCTTCAATACGAGGAAACGAAATTGTTAATAATAGTGCAAAATCAAGGGAGCAGGAGCAATCTAGGTATTCATAGCATGGATAAAGAGGTAAATCCCCATTAGGGAAGGAGTGATTAGGGGGCTTCCCTTAGACAATTGAGCACAAAATGTCTCCTGTTGCTGATTGAATTTGAATCAGTCTAAAATGGAACATGTTTTCGGCGACAATCATGGTGATTGTCAAAGAGATGTCGAGTGATTGTGATTCTCATTTGGTAAGATATTTTGCTCTCTTTCAGTGTGTTCTACATGTATAGTAATAATTATTTTTAATTTTTTTTGTTTGAAGAATAATATAAAAATATTAAAAAATCTATTTTTTTTTTAAAAGTGATTCTACATTAAATTGCGGTAGAGAGTTCCAACATGGACCTCTTGCAATGTTCGAAGCCATAATAAGGGGAAATAAAAATTTATAGACCCGATATCTCTTATTAAATTGCTAAAGCATTCCCAATATCTTGCCTTGAAGAAAATCCTTCCTTTTCTCCCTTTTCAAAAGAAAATGAGAATTATGATAAAATCGATAAAACTAAAGAGAATAATTCTTTGAAGATTAATTTATTTATTTTGTCTCTGTTAATTTAATGATTTCTCACACAAAGGTATTAGTGATCTAAAAATGGCAAGTATAATAAATTTCTTTCATTTCCTTGTTTTTCTACAAATAATATAAATAAATCAATTTCCAAAGATTTTATAAAGAAATGATTCTGTTTTTTTTTTAAAAAAAATTTAGCAATTAGTCAATAGCCATGATTTTTTTTTTATGTCCCTTTGTAACCATGATTTTGAAGTTAAAATGTGTTAACAATATTTATATAATTTTTTTAATAATAAAAATTTTAATCCGATGATTTTTTATTCGAGCCCTTACAAATGCAATATTTTTTCTTGTAAGAGATCTCCGTCTTGACATATAACAGAATATATACCTCGGAGAACAAAAAATAAAAATAAAATACGAATATAAACAATCATCTGCCTTCGAAGGAAAATTTAATAATAATAATAATTTGTTCCTACAAGAACAAGACAAATTCCAGACCAACACTTCGTTTGCCAGAAAATCTTAGCAAATTCTTACTTCGGACAAAAGATTATCTACGATGGCAGGCAAGAAGACACCTGCTATCATCTTGTCTGTTATATATTCACCAAAAAAAAACACCTACAGAAAAATTATAGGCTACGTTTTCTTCCTTTCCCCCTCCCTTTCTTTCTTCGCTCTTTCTTAAAGGAAATGAGAAGATCCCACCATTTTCTTCCTATCAAAAGCTGATCAATCAATAATCAGCCACCTCCAGCCTCAGCCTCTTGAGTCTTTTAATCTCAGTTTAATCCAGGTAATTAATCTGTATCCCACTATTTAATCCTCCATACTATCACTATTGCACGAAACAATCTCCATTTCTTTCAAATGTTGTAAAATTAAATTCCTCTATTTTTTTTTGTTTTAAAGAATGTAGGGAGCTGTTAGTAGACAGTGTTTATTACAACAAGTTGTTCCTCTCCAAGATATACTGTGATCATATTAGTATTGCTTTCAGTGATGCTTATGGCAATCAGGTTTGGTCTTCAACTGATTTTTTGGTTTATAATGTGCATATTTAAAAAAAAATTCCTGGATTTTAAGACAAACCCTTTATTGTTGATTAATTCTTAATTCTATACATGTTTGTTTAATGTAGTAGCATGTTGCCTGTAATAATCATCAATACTGGTTTTGTTAATTAAGAGACATTTTTTGGGCTATTTATATTCTAAAGCCTAGAATTTGTGCTCAAGTTGACCATTCGATAAAGAATGTATATAGTACTGAGTTGTCAATGGCTGAACCTTGGAATTATAATGGCTTGGGGAACTGATTTCTAGTATTTAAGAGGAATTTTCCTTGCTAAGACTGCTATTAGCTGAATGGTTTGTTGAGAAATTAAGAAAGTTAGCAGTAGGATTGAGAATGAGTTGTCAGAGTACGGTGTTCATGAGCTACATCCTGTTTATGGATCACGTTCAAGTATACGTACAAAATAAAACTACTGCCTGACAATTAGTTTGGCTGAGAGGAAAGGAAAGGGAAGGGAGGGTGCCTTTGAAGTATGGAATGAGGAGGTGAATATTGGATATGTGTATGCGAGGGCAGAGGAGAGTGAGAAGGAAGGTTTAATTATAATTGGAGGGTGTTCAAGAGGAAGAAAAGAAGGGAGAATTGGGGCATGATTGTGTTCGTTCATATTGCTAGGGAATGGAGGATATTAACAAGGTAATATTGGAAAATTAAGTCAAAATTGCATTCAGTTAATTATAATGGAGGATATTAAGAAGGTAATATTGGAAAATTAAGTCAAAATTGCACTCAGTTAATTATCTTCCTCTTTAACGATCCAATTTGGGTTTTCGGAAATCCTTTTGGATGTAGGTGGAATGGAGTTATTAAGGGTCATTCTCATTTTTCTTTCTTTCCCCTGGACACTCTCTTTTTTAGATTAACGTGGGTGTCCGGGCCAGCTTGCACGCACCACGACTAATCCCCTGGACACTCTCTTATTTGTGGCGTAAGTGGTGTGTTTCATCTTGTTTTACCTGGTGTGTATTGAACTTTTGACATATTTTGGGTGAATAACTGTTGCTCGTATCAAGAAGTTCGTGAAAAGTTCCAAGTCATTTGATTTATGGGTTTGCCCTTTTAATTTATTGTTCAGATCTATGCACCAAGGGTGGATGATCCATCGACAAGAACATTTGAACAGTGTTCCTCCTATTCATTTCAGATATCTGGACCATTTGGATATCAGATATGCTATGTCTATCTCTACAGAAGCGGACCAGATGGTTGGAAGCCTGACACCGTGAGGATTTCTGGTTATTATTCGAGGAATGTTACTTTTACCTACAATACCTGCATCCCCAGAGATGTTTGGTACGGGTTTAATTTGTGCCACAATGCCTCTTCTGCACTTCAGCGAGGAATTCCGCAATGGTTTTTGTACACGAACCTTGCGGTTCTTGCTAGTTTTATATTGCAAGTTTAAACAAATAAGAAGCAGCACATTGTAGGTTGCTGGGACAATTAGCAACTTATCGGTTCTTGCTAGTTTTTTTTATTGCAAGTCCAAACAAATAACAAGCAGCACATTAGTGGCTGCTGGGACAATTGCTAGCAAATTATCGTCAGTGGCATGTTGCTGAAGACTAGGAAAAATATTAGTACTGGAAATGTGGCGAACCATTTCCATATTTCTAATATGGTGTGACGTTGTAACTAGCTACTATTGTTCTGAGAGGATTCAAGGATAGGTTGGACTGGTGAAAAGGTGTTTTATTTTATTTCTTACTTGATCGATGAATACTCAATACGCCTTGGTTATATGTATAGACTTGTATCATAGCCTAATAATGATTCAACCTGCTGCAAAATAGTTAATAAACATCATGTCTTCTTAGGACTCTGTTGGATGAACAATGCAATTTCGGTAATAATATTCCATTTCAGTTGGAAAATGCAATTAGATATTTGGGGTAGTATAAGTGATCAAGGGGTGGTAACTCATATGGGAGAAAATTTTGGGTAGAGTTCTATTACTATTAATGGATGGCTCTGCGATTTTTTATGGGCACAAACATCCCAGATAATTCAGTTTTTTGGTTTTTTATTATCTGCATATGATCTGTTTTTCCTACAGTAGAATTTGTCTTTGGTTATAATAGAATTATTTTTGTGCCTTTGATTAAAAAAATCAAGCCTCTTAAGTGGGGCGTTGGTTTTGTTTTTTTCACCATAAAAATATTTTGGATAAGAGTATTTTAAAGTTTTTAATTTTTAATGTATAGTATAATTACATCTTTCATTTTGAAAGACACAAAATATAAGTTTGTTATTTAAAGATATTTTTTTACTTTAATATGAGTATTTTGTGTAGCTACCGCGGAGCATGTTGGTATTTTTATTTTTTTCTTGAATTTTTTAATGCTTAAAACTATTAAAGTGTACTTGACACGTCTTAGCCCGTGTATAACATTCACGCCATTTAGACGGTGCGTGTGATACCACCCAACGGACATAATTAATCTTTACCGTCTTTCTATGCATTATCATCTTTTTTATTTTATTTTTATTGGCGTGTAACAATTTATGCTGGTTGAATTATTGCTAATAATTATTTGATTTTTTTTTTATTTTTTTACTTTTTTGACATATAATATATATCATTATCCTTTTTATTTTTCAATCTCAATCATCATGGTTAATTGCTCATTTCGTTTATTTTTTATTTATAGAAGTTTTAATTTTTTTAATTTAATCATTTAATTATAATTTCTTATATATTTTATTTTTCATTTCAATTTTTATTTTTTAAAATTTTTAATTTTGTATTTGACATTTTTATTGAATTTTTAAAATTTTATTATTCAATTAAATTTTTTATTATTTTATTTGTTAATTTAAACTTTTTTTTTCTTTTTTATTAAAAATATTTTTCAATTCAATTAAATACAATAATAAAAAAAATTTATCGCTTTTTCTCACAAAGGACAATATTGCCACCTCGAAACTAGGTTTCTTGACAGGTCAAATCTTCCTAGGGAAATTCGAACCCGGGAGTCCCTTGTCGGCCTCCGGGGAGCCCTGCCAGCCCACCCAAAAGTGGAATTCTGGCATGTCACAACCTTTAAATTAATTCATCACTGTAGTAGATATATATTTGCAAATATAATTTTTTTATTTTTTAAAAATTATTTTTGAATATAGCATATAAAAATAATTTAAAAACATTAAAAACATATTAATTCAAAATAAAATATGTATTTGTTATAACTGGATTTATGAGTTCTTTCATGGGAATACTTTTTTTAAAAAAACAATTTAAAACGCCCTCTAAATACTGTATTTTTTATAACTGGATTTATGAGTTCTTTCATCGGAATACTTTTTTTTTTTTTATGTGATCTAAGGCTTTTAAAGACCTATCTTCATCCTCCTGCGAGACCATTAGCAAGTCTGCTAGACTTTTTACTTCTTACATGATGCAGTTATAGTAAATCTAAGTCTGTTAGTCCATTTCTAAGTCTCTTGGGCTCATGGGACTTAAGGGTCGGATTGCTAAATGGCTTGTATTCTAGGAGAGAGCTAGTTAGTTCGAAACAGTCGATGTTCAGTTCTGTCTCAAAAACATCCGAATATATTCCTTAGAAATTGTAAATATCTAATAAAGATACGAGTGCGTATGCTTACTAATTTCTGGCTTGTTTCAAAGAATCTAGACGTAGAGATCAAGATAAGAGGAGCTGACAGCAACCCTTCCCCCAAACTTTATCGAATTTGTTTTACTAAAAATAAAATCATTTTCTATTGAATTTACGTTTTTGTTTTTGTTAATTTCAATTCAGTTCATTTTTTTCCCTTGCTTTTTAATGGATTTTGGGATATTATATAAGGATGAAATTGAAATTTACACACTTTTTGTTACTATTCCTTATGAAAATGAACAGAGGGGCAGTTGGAATAGAAATCGAAGATATTGGGGCTGATTGAAATAAAAATAAAAGATGTGAGAGTTGATTGAAACAAATCAAAAGTTTCATGTTAAGCAAGGACCACACAGCAACACATAAATCTCAAAGTTTTACTTAATTTTAAATAAAAGAAGGCATTCCTAATTAGCCCCATAAGCAACTGTCCTTCCCATTTTGATTTTGTGATTCATTTCTATGGATTTAGGTTCAGTTTTCTATTTGGGCTTGTTTGATTTTAAAAATAAGGTGTTCTTTAAAAATATTTTTTATTTAGAAATATATTAAAATATTATTTTCTATATCAGTATATTAAAATTATTAAAAAAATCAATTTAATATTTTTTTTAAGCAAATATATTTTTAAATAGTACTTAAAAATACTTATTTTCAAACAGTAACCAAAGCAATGAAAAATCAAACCAAAGTAACTTACATATGGTTCAGTTTTCCACTTTTGACTCAATTCTCACTTTTTCAAGGCCGCGGCGGGGGACGCTTTCCAAGCTAGTTAATCAAGAGCGAGTATACATCCACCACGCGGTGATCTTTCTGAGAGTGGATGTGCTGCTCTAATCCAGTCTCTGACAGGCCAGCTTTTTTCTTCATCTCGTTTGCCTATAGTCTAAAACCTTGCCGTGAGGGAGTTTTTCTACAGTGAGAATAAAAAAGGTTTTTGGGCAAGGCTAGAAAGGAACTCACCCTTTGACACCAAGAGATAAGAGCTGATTGTTTAAACCCATCTCCTACATCTTTGTGGTTGTTGCCTGTGCTTGGAGTCAGAGAGACAGTGAGAGCCCGAAGAACAATAATTACTCTATCAAAATTCAAGATAAAGTGATGCCTATAACATTTATTCGCATCATGGGCTGCTTAAATCCTTCATTAGGGACCTTTAGGTTGCCCAAGGATCGATCAGGCCATGGATTAGTGGAATTTACTAATCCATTCAATTTTATGGTTGTTGGTTTGTCATGATCTATTATGAGAAGAAGACTCAATGATGTATACTTTTGCAGACTTGTAATTTTTTGTATCTGTTTCCAAACATTTTGACGCTTGAGAATATAGGCGTGATTGCAGCCGCGTCTACATTTGGGAACGAGCACTGATCATAATTATGTGGGATAATAGCTCCTGATGGAAGGTAGTTACCCCATAAAGAGTGACAAATGATCTATGCTCTGCCAGGAACATAGAAGGGCCAAATTAATATGAATCAGAAAAATATAGATCAGATATGAAGGTGAAAACAATTGAAGTGCTTAGACATGAAATTTAAGGTGGTGAGAAGGAAGAAAAAGAAAAGGAAAAGATCATTGATTCCATCGTTCTTCGAAGGTTATTAGCATCATTATACCGTTGTACAAAATAATGAAATCCCAAAAAAACCCATGTAAGTAAACTATGTATTTTCCTGCTTTCAAGGGAAAGAATGCTATTCAATTTCACCTACAATTTGTTGGGAATTTCATCCGGTGATGTTATGATATTTGCTCATTGGAGACCAAACACACTGATATAATATTTAACGTGGTTCGACAAACCGCCTACATCTATGGGAGAAGCCATTGCATTATGTAGGGAGAGTACAAAATTTACAACAATAGAGAAGGAAAAATCATCCCTTCTTTGACAACTCTTAACCTCACTCTATTTTTTTTTTCCAGTACTGCAATGATAGCTACTATTGGTTGTCTTGGCAGCCCACTCTCTTCTATATTTCTCACATCTTTGGCTCTTTTTTCTTTTTCATTTTCCTCTCTCACATGTATCTCTATTTATAGATATTTATAAAGGCTTTGCTTGCTTTATTGTTAATATTAGTGGCTATCACTTCCAACTCATTCAATAACAATGACTGTTAATAATCAATGATTAGTGCCATTTATTTACTGCACATGAAATGAGAATAAATCTAACAAAGTTCCACCACTAGTACTGAATATGATATCTATTGCTTTAAAATACATGGCATTTTCCCTTCATGCTACTGGTAAAATTCACATACTAAAGGTTTGACAAGATGCCAACCGTCGTTCTTTACCAGTCTAGTCTGGCTTAGGTCATTCTCTTTCGCGTTTACAGTGTACCGACGAATTAATTAACTTGATTCTTCACCGAGGACATATGGCTTAAGTTTTTGGCTTTATGGATGGAACTCATGCATAGGCTAGCTAGATGCTTTATTGCAAGAGTTTTTCACTTCAAAATTGAGTACAATATCAATGATCATTCTCTAGCTATATGCAAATTGCTCACGTAAAGATGCCACATTGTGCTCCACCCAGAACAATTTCCTCTCTTTTTTTTCTTTTTAAATCTTCGATGGTCTTAAACTAATGGTAGAGAAAATCAAGATTACATCTACTGATGGAATCAATAATTTTGAGCAATTGAAAATTGTAATTTATTTCTATCAATTGAATTATAATCCAAGATGTATAAACTATCTTGTTTTGTTTTCTCAACAGGATCAATTTATGGCCCCGACTAGGCATGGTGTCATTTAGGAAGCAACAGAAAATGATGCTCTCTCTGATATATATATATATATATATATAGACC